GAAGGACAGAGTCAGAGGAGTCGCCAACCACACGGAGTACTAGTCAGAAGCACATAATGGAATAAAGGTAAATACCATGAGCCTCGGAACAGAACATAGATTAATAGAAATGAGTTAAATTGTAAAAGCTGGTCAGTAACAAGCCTGAGTTATTGGTCAAGCATTTGTAACTAATATTAAGTCTCAGCATGGTTATTTGGGAGCCGGCTGCCAGGACAGGAAAACTCCATCTGTATGCCACCATGTCTATTTTGTTTATTTTATTTTAACATTAAAGAAAATGTATGTGTATGGGAGTTTTGCCTACATGCAAGTCTGTGCACCATGTGTCTGCAGTGCCCACAGAGGCCAGAAGAAGATATTGGATCTCCCAGAGCTGGAGTTATAGGTGGTTGTGCGCCTTCTGAATAGAACTCTGGTCCTCTGGAATAGCAGCAAGCTATGACTCTATTCTTATTTTTTAAAACCAAGAAATGTACTGAAAGGATTTGGTTCTTAAAATGCAGTAACTTTTTAAAATCAAACAAGAATATGTACTTACGATGAGAGGTGTTCATCAGGAACTATAAAACAGGAAAGTGAATCATGTTAGACTTGTGGATACCAATATGATGCTACTACAACCACTATATGTAACAGACCCTTATATCCATTCTACTCCTTTTCCAAACCCCACTGAAACAACAACAAAAGGATTTATTTACTTATTTATTAAAACAATCATTAGCTCCCAGGGATGAGAAAGGCAGGGGAAACAACAGCTAAAACACACTGCAAACCTACAGAGTGGAATATCACTTCCCAGACCCTAGCCATCTGGATCTGAAGCTAATGATAGGGAGAACCAAGCAGAAGTCTGATGCATATTCCAGAACCTACTACCCTCCTCCACAAGCCCCCTCAAAAGAAACCTCAGAAACTCATGACACTAGGTATCTCTGGAAATGGGATCAGGCAGGAACTCTAAAATAAGACTCTGAGAATGGTCTAAGAAGGATCAGTCCCAGTAGGCATAGTAGTGTACACCATTAATCTCAGCATAGAGGCAAGCATACCTCTGTGAGTTCAAGGCCAGCCTAGTCTACATATTGAGTTCCAAGACAGCCAAAACTATATAGACCATATCTCAAAATAATAATAATTAATAATAATAATAAAAAGATCAGTCCCAGTTCCTTTTTTAAAAAAGTTTTATTAATGAGTTATTTATTTTTATTTTATGTGCATTGGTATTTTTCCTGCATGTATGTCTCTAGGAGGGTGTGGATCTCCTGGAAGTGGAATTACAGACAGTCGTTAGCTGCCATGTGGGTGAGGGGAACTGAACCCGGGTCCTCTGGAAGAGCAGCCAGTGCTATTAACCTCTAAGCCATCTCTCCAGCCCCAGTTCCCTTTTTAGCTGTGGGTGGCTGTTGCTCCCTCAGTCTGGCCAGATGACCACTGATTTTCAAGAAAGGCTCTAATAGAGGATTTCTGGACTAGGAGAAAACACCAAAACCAGGAGGGCTTGGTGCTCTCTTCCCAACACGGCTCTTGTAAGATAAGCAATCAGCCCTCCTCTTCTTCCCTCTGCCACTGAGCTCTTCTCCCAGGCTGTCACCTTCTGGGCAAGAGACTCACTGGGGAACCTGATCAAGCCAACAGGAAATAACAATGGAATGGATGCTCCAGCTAAGAACCCAGTAAGAACCACAGTGACAATCATCACCTGTAAGTCCTTGCTTGAGTCTTCTCCTCTTAAACATGACAAGTAAGAATTATCACAACAAAGTAGAAAGAAAACGAAAACAATGAAAGCAAGCTATCGAGAGGAAACACTAGTCAGAGGGAAAGTTCTAACACCTATTACTATATCAGAACAAACAAGCAATGTTAAAACAGGCATGAGGGGCAAGGTTTTTTTCAGCAGAAAAGTATAAATTAAGTATAACATCAGAAATAAAAACTTCATAGAAAATCTGGAAGATACAGTTGAAGGAAGTTCCCAAGAAGCAGAAGGACAATAAAGGACATTCCATAACCAAGTGATAGGAATACTAGAAAGGAAAAACCAAACATCTATCAAGAGTGCCCACATGATGGAGTGGTAAACAAAAACAGATGGCCCTTCTGTTAAGAGAGCTTGCTGCTCTCGAAGATGGCTGGAGTTCGGTTCCCAGCACCCATACCGGGTGGTTCTTACCTGCCTGTACTGCCAGCTCCATTGATCCAACACCCTCTTCTGGCCTCTGGGGGCTTCCTCACACATGTACATGAACACATGCAGACACACATAAATAAAAATGAAACCTGAACAAAATCTTATCAGAAGATTGAGAACCTGGGTCATAAACAAGTTATAACTGGCTCTCTGCACCCAAGGGAATCAACATCTGTGGACTAACATGAGGTAAAAATTGAGGGGCTGTAGTGATGGCTCAACAGTTAAGACCAGAAGTGTTCATGTCGTGTGTGTGTGTGTGTGTGTGTGTGTGTGTGTGTGTGTGTGTGTGTGTGTGTATGTGTGTGTCCCCGTCTGTCCCGTCCCTGCCCCCCCTCATAGTCCAGTCCAAAGGGATCTGATGCCATCTTCTGGTCTCTGAGGGCACTGCATCCACATGATACACATACACATTCAGGCAAAACACCCATACACACAAAATTTTAAAAAAAGAAATTGAAAAGCCAGACATACACCAGTAACTGAAACTCAGAACGCTCAGGCATGAACACTGTGAGCTCAAGGCTAGCCTGGGCTACAAAGAGACCACACAAAATGAAACAGAAACCAGCACTGCCAACACCGCAACCCCCTGAGCCTCTACTAAACGTGCCATTCTTCTGTCATTCACTCTAAGCAACACAGGGTAACATCTACCTGCACAGCACTGACACTGCAGAGGTCAACTTTGGGAGTAATCTAGAGTTGACTTAAAGCACAGTAAAGTACAGAGAGGTGAGTATGGGTCATATGTGATGTTACAAAAGGAACTTGTACATCAGTGATATTTACAATCAGTCCTCATGGATACCTACAAACAACTGTAATTCAAACACCCAGAGAAAATAAAGGCCACAGACAAAATTCAGGAACAATGCTAGATGCAAAATGCTAGACGATTATGGAATAATGCTTCCAGATGTCTGAAGAAATGTTTCCAACCTTTTTCAGACATTCAAAGCCTCAAAAACACAGTTCTTGCCTCCTTCAGGAACCTACTTAAGTATGCACTTCATAAAATGAGACAGGAAACAATATAGAAGCGAACAAATACGAGGAAAGAAAATGGTAGAACATGCTAAACAGAAGACCCCAAATGGGTAAGAGAATTCCCAGGACCATAACAGTGAAGGAAGATCACAGAAGCCAGCCGGGTCAGACACCTGCCAGTCCAAACCAGTCAAGTCAGCAGGCTCCTGGACAAACTTCTTTAGGAAAAATGGAACTGATAAAATGTCTTTTAACCTTAACATTTTGAGTGGAGATTTGTAACAGTGGCAAAGGTTTTGAGGTTTAAGTAAGCATACATATGTAAAAAACTAAACAAGCATACAAAGCTAAGCTCAGGGAGACCAAGTTACACGGGAAAGGAAACCATAGCTTCCTACATGGCTCAGCTCCGACAAGCTCATACAACATGCACATGCAACCCGGACTTTTCTTCTGCAAGGTTACCAATGACGAACGGGGATTAGGAGGAACCAAGATTTCCAAACAGCAGAAAACGGCTCTACTGAAAGTCAGCAGGAATCATGACTCTGTTCCTGAGCGAGGGGCGTCAAGTGTCAGTGGGGTCCCCCTCAGTTGTTGGCATATGGACTAACCCATTCTCACCAACAGCCCGGTACTGGCAATGTTCCTGTAAAGCTCAGAACATCTACGGTCAAATCCAGCAAGCAAGAGCTCACAACAGACGGACACCCTCACAACTTTTCTGGAACTAAAACGTGTTTGAATACCTGGATGGCCGAATCTGAGAACATTATTTTTCTCACCCCTTTAAAGCAGTAACTCAAACCCTTTCACAGAGCACAATGAATGGACAACAGCAGTTTTGAGCTCTAATTTGACTTATTTAGAGGCGCCATTTTTGGAAGAGTGCTGATTAGTCTACATTCTACAAGAATCCCGCCGTGCCCTCCCCTCTCCCGTTTTAGAGACAAGTCCTCAGTAGCCCATCAGGCCTAGCACTATGTAGCTGAGGCTGACTTTGAACTTCTGATTCTCTTGCCTCCATTTCCCAAGTGCGGAGATTACAGCCTTGTGCCTGGTCTTAAGCGGTGGTGGTGATCCACGGCCGGCTCAATGCATGGCTAGGCAAGCCGTCTTCTAGCTGAGCTACCTAGTAGATCCTCCTACACCGACTTGGTATGCAAAAATCATCGGTGGGTCATTTCGTTGAAGACAGGCATAGGGCGCCCTCTGCTGGCCACCGGCAAAAAGTATTTTTCAACTGCTAGGTGTTGACGTTTTGTGACCCTGCAATGTTTTTCTAAACAAAGTATACGAGAGTATTATGTTTAAACCTTGCGTCACGGATTGTGGAAAAAGATTTTGGGTAGCTCAAAACTGCCTACGCTTCTGCCATTCCGAATCCCTGGCCCCTGCCTACTCCTAGGGTGTACGCAGCGGCTCTTTCCAGCACCCGGGGTTCCCACCGGCCCGCTCGCACCCCGGGATCTAACGTCTAGTCACTCCAATTCCTGTGTTCAGTGAAACGCCCTCACGAGCACAGGCTTTAGAGGCAGAACCGTGCGGGGTAAGAATAAAAAGCCCTCGGGGGCCGTACTTCTCGCGCCGTCCCGCACGGCGGCGGCCATCTCTCTCAGGAGCTCCTCCACGACCTCCGGCAGCGTGGCGGCCATGGCGCGCCGCCCGCGTCTCTCCTCCGCGGCGCTGCGAACGCCCCGCGCGCTCCAGGCCTGGAGGCGGGGCGTGGGCGGGGCGGGGCGGCGTGACGTCAGCAGACGTCACCGCGCATGCGGACAGGCGGGGCGTCACGGGCCAGCCGCGGTCGGTGGAACGCCGAGGACGCGTCGGCAGCATGTTCCGGCTGCTGCGCTGGCGTCTGGGCCGAACCCTGCTGCGGGCCGCGGGCCGCCGGTGCGGAGGCTGCGCGGCCCGCCTGCTGCCCGAGCGGGCGGGCGACACGGGGCCGGGCGCCGGCGGGCTGCGGGGCCGAGGCGCGCCGGCGCGGGGCCAGGGACTGCTGCCGCTGTTAGCAGGTGAGCGGCGCGCTCCCGGGCGGGGCCGGCCGGGCGGCGGGCCGGGCGGCGGCGGCGGGGGCGCGGGCCGGTCCCGGTGACCTCTGAGCCGCTTCTTGCAGCGTTCGCCTGGTTCGCGCGGCCCACGGTGGCGCGGGAGCCGCCGGAAGAGGAGGACGCGGCAGACGAGGCGGAGGCCGAGATCATCCGGCTCCTGAAGCGAGCCAAGGTGAGGGGGCTCGGTCGGGCGTGCGCGCTCTCTGCTCCTCTTCCCCGGGGCCGGGGATGGATTGGCCCCAGGTGGAAGGTTGGGCTCCGTCCAGGCTAGTCCGTGGTGGCTCCTGCGGCAAAACCGCTGCAGTCGTGAGTGCAGGTGGAGACGGCACCCTCGCATTTCTCTTTCGTCCAAACGTACTGATGATTGAAGATGTTTTGCGGGGGTGGTTTTAATCAGCTAACCAGCCTAGCTGAAATGACATTTCGTGCACAGTATACGCTTGACGCCCCGAAGATGCAGTTTAGTGTTGTTTATGTCTCTTGGTTCGCGTCTAAATCTGTTTCTCCGCATTCGTTTACATTTTCTATCCAGGTTTAGTTCACCTCTTCCAGTGGGTTCAGTATCGGCTTAATGCCATCAACGTCCAGATTTGTGTTCACATACTGCAGTGTGCCATTCACATGCTGTCTCTGTTGTGATGCCCCAGCTACCTCAGACTTAGCACGCTCCGAACTAAGAACTTATTCTTAAATGCCTCCCCCCAGATATGTTCCTAAACAGTCTTCTCTTTACCAACGGAAAAACCAGCCTGAAAAAAACATCAAAGTGGTTCTTGAAGTGCATTGTTGATTAGTCCCAGTTACACAGCAATAATCACAGTGCCATCAAAATCAAAACACTTCTCAACCCCGCCTCCATTTCCCCCGGCTTTCCCCACAGTGGTCCTGTCCTCTTTCCCCACTGTGATCCTTTCTCCATGCAGCGACCCGAGGGATGCTTTGAGAATGTAAACCAGAGCATAGTGCCTTCTTGCCTGATAACTGAGAGACTTCTCACCCTGTCTGTGAGGAAACACACCTGTCACGGGCTGCAGGACTGGAAGTGATCTAAGCCAGCTGTCTCATCCTCCTGTGGCAGTAACTCTGTGACTCACTGTCCTTCCTTGCATTTCTTCTGAGGAATCGTTCTTTCCAGCCTATAGGAGCCTCACTCATTATCTCTGTTGGGGTCATTCTTTTGTCCATTTTGTTATTTGGACAAATAATTCTGATTCTCCTTACCTCATTTTTCCTCTCATTTTCTTGAACGGTTCCCTGATTTCATTGATGAGATCCCCTTGTTATTTCTTTGTGTTGTTTTTCTTCATTGCTTTTCTCATGTGTTTTACTTAAGCCTGCTTGTTCTCCATGGTCCCTTATAATCTACAGGAAGAGGAAGGGAAAGTGAAAGGCAAGCAGCTTCCTTGTAAAGTAAATACAGTGTCAGGTGAGGTGGCACACACCTTGGGCCGCAGCACTCAGGAGGCAAGGCAGGCAGATCTCTAGGTTTGAAGTCAGCCTGGTCTCTGTCTCAGGAGGAGGAAAAAACTAGAGATTGCTCACCTTCCTTCTGTCTGGTCTGTTAGTCAAAACTTTGTTGTTACATGAGCACACCTAGATGCAAGGAGGCTGGTCTCCCTGTCCACCTCTGTCAGCGTGGTACCTGGACATGGTGGGGATTCAGGAAATAGACGATGAGCCAATAGCTTCGTTACCCGTATGACGATATGTCTACTCTGGAGCAGCGTGCACACCTGCTGTCCTTACCTTTCATTTACTGTTTTCTTTGTCTTCTCTTTTTAGTTGAGCATCATGAAAGATGAGCCAGAAGCAGCGGAGCTAATTTTGCATGATGCTCTTCGCCTTGCGTATCAGAGTGACAACAAGAAAGCCATCTCTTACACTTACGACTTGGTAACTCCTCTGACCAGTTTGAGCTCTTGCTGAGGAAGGGTGGATGCTGACAGAGTGCTCCTCCTATTTTATTTCCTGACTCTCAAGATGTCCCGAAGGAAGGTTTTTGTTTCCTATTGGTTTTAGTTTGTGTATCCTCTACGGAGTCACTTACAATTTCAGACCAGAAAGAAACGGCTGTCTTAGTGTTTTTCTCTTCAGTGATGAGTAGATCTGGGTTTAGTTTGCTTTCAACAGAAAGTATAAAATAAGTTCTGTGCTTCTCTCATTGCTGTATTGAGCTTCTAGAAGATTGACTGGTGACAGTTTCTCTGATTTGAACTTTTTTTTTTTAAGATTGTGAAAACAGGAAAGAATCTTTCACTTAAACGTTTTTTAAAATCTGTGTGAATTGCAGTGCTCTGAATTGAACAGCTATTTATAATTTGTTTTCAGATGGCCAACTTAGCATTTATCCGAGGGCAACTTGAAAATGTAAGTCAATCACTCTGTAATATCTTGAATTGGTATCTCCTGAAGGGAACTGTAACAGTAAGGGTATGTTATTCCTCAAAAAGATCCCCAAAGCACAATGACTCAAGATACAGGTATGTTTCTTTTTAATTGATTAGCCCACGGGTAGGCCAAAGAGTAAAAGCAGATTAGGCATCTCTGTTGTGTGGTTCATCTTAAGGTATGTCTTCATCTGCGTGAGTGAGCTGACTCATGCAGCCTGAGGGAAGGGAAAAGGGGAGAATTCGGTGCAAGCAGCATCTTGTGAAATGTCTTAAAGGTGTTGACATTCTCTGCCTGTTACTATTAGCCAGAACTTAAATTAGTGGTATGATCACACCTAATTGTAAGGAAAGCTGATTCAAAAATGGAGGATATTTTAAAAACTTGATAGGGTTTAAAAACTTGATGTCACATTGGTTCAGGTGATTAATCTCTTGAAGTTAGTTTCCACTCATCACAGGGTACTTTAAGGTACAGAGAAGATGTGAGGTCCTGATCTTTTGGTCCCTTTATAAGAGTTTCAATGCTTCCTATATTTGTGTGTGTGTGTGTGTGTGTGTGTGTGTGTGTGTGTTCGTGCATGCACATTAGATTGGTACTTATAAACAAGGGTCATATATAGATGGTTTAAAAAAAATCCTTATGCTTTTAGGCAGAACAACTTTTTAAGGCAACCATGAGCTACCTGCTTGGAGGAGGTATGAAACAGGTAAGGACACTGTCTAATATTGCCTCCTTGTGGAAGCCGTTAAGGAAAACTCCCTTAGGGGTTTCAGTGGCTGTGATAAACACCATGGGCAAAAGAAACTTAGGGAAGAAAGGGTTTATTTCATCTTAAACTTCCTGGTGACAGTCCATCACTGAGGGAACTCTAGGCAGGAACCTGGAAGCAGGAACTGAAGCAGAGGACATGGAGAAATGCTTCTGACTGGCTTGCTTTCTGTGGCTCACTCAGCCTGCTTTCTTATACCACCCACAGTGGGCTGGACACTCCCCCATCAGTCATTAATCAGTAAAATGCCCCACAGACTTCTGTACATACAGTCTGGTAGAGGCATTTTTCTCAATTGAGGTTCCTCTTTTCAGATAACTGTAGCTTGTGTCTAGTTGACCAAAAAACCAACCAGGATACCCTGTAGCCCCAGGCCTAACACATAGGTACTTTGACCAAAAAAGTGGTTATTTCACCTTTAGGCCTGTAAAAAATGGCTAGTATTTCAGATTCTGAGTGATGATTGCCAAAGAATTCATAGTTGGTTAATTCCTTTAAAGGAAGAAATACTGGCTTTGAGGCCAAATTCAGTAGAGAAGTTGGAAATACTCCATAAGAAAATTTTACTTCTCATGAAATTCCTTTTTTTTTTTTTTTTGGTACCAACAGGAAGACAATGCAATTATTGAAATCTCTCTGAAGCTGGCCAGTATCTATGCTGCTCAGAATAAGTAAGTATGATCAGAATATAGATGTGGCAGTAACCAGGTCGTAGAGTGATGAGCAGAACACTCAGACCTTGGGGTCTCCAGAAATGGAGTGTCACCCTCAGGGTTGCATTTCTCATCTTCGTAGTTTGGAGGCCTTTCCGGTTTCCCTCCTTCTGTTTCTGTTTACCTGAGCAGAACGCAGCCCTCCTTCCTGTAACTGCACTGATAGCTAGTCAGATACTTGATTCTTGCTTGAAATGAGAAGGGAAGTGGAGTGAGACCTGTAGTTAACTCTTCCTAGACGCAAAGGGAACAGTGTAAAAAGTACCACAGCATAATAGACGTGAAGAACCACTCTGCTGCTACCAGCCAAAGAGGAAGTTAAGTATGAGGTTAAATGGTGAGGATTACTCTTGGGTTATCTCTGGCTCAGCTTACTATCCATTCTGGAAAATAAGTGTTGTCTCAGTTAGGTTTTCTTTTGTTGTGTTAAAACATGACCAAAAGCAACTTGGGAAGGAAAGGGTTTATTTGGCATGTATATATGCAGGGAAACCAAGGCAGGAACTCAAAACAGACAGGAACCTGGAGGCAGGAACTTAGGCAGAGGCCATGGAGGGGTGCTGCTTACTGCTTTGCTCAGCCTGATTTCTTAGAGCACCCAAGACCACCAGTCCAGGGTGGTGCCATCCACATCAGTCACTAAGAAAATGCCCCAGTTGTTCATCTACAACCCACTTAATGGAGGCATTTTCTCAGTTGAGGTTCCCTCCTCTTAGATAACTCTAGCTTGTATCTAGTTGTCATAAAGGTAACCAGCACAAGTGACTGTACGTGGAATTAGATGTTTTGTTTCAGTGTCTTCAGAGCATGTGGAAATAATCATTGGTAGGATTTTGGAGGAGATATAGCCAGTGGCAGAGGGAAGTCTGTATATGGAAGTTAGGAATTAGGTTTAAAAATAGTAGATAAGGTCTTTTTTTGGTTTTTTTTTGTTTTTGTTTTTGTTTTTGTTTTTTAAATTCATTTTAGAGACAGGGCTTCTTTATGTTGCCCTGGCTATCCTGGAACTCGCAATGTAGACCAGGCTGGCCTCAAACTCATGCTTGTCTCTGCTTCCTGAGTGCTGGGATTAAAGGTATGTACCATCACAAATGACCCTAAATTCTTGTAAAGAAGAAAAGGCCCATCAGCTAAATGGAAGGCTTTAGGAAACAGTTTAGGTGTTGCCAAAAGCTAGAAACCCATGAGACCTTAAGGACCTTGTCTTAGGTTTCTTTTGCTGTGATAAAATACAGTCTATTGAGGGAAGCCAAAGCAGAGAGTTGAGGTGGGAACTGAAGCAGAAGCCTTGGAGGAGTGATGCCTACTGGCTTGCTTTTCTTGGCTCGCTCAGTTTGCTTTCTTATATACCCCAGGACTGTCTGCCTTGGGTAACACTACCCACAGTGGACTGGGCCCTGCCATGTCAATTGTCGATCAAGGAAATGACCCCCCCCCCCCCCCCCCCCCCCACACACACACACAAATTTGCTTACAGGATAATCTAATGGGACATCTCCTCGGCTGAGAGTCCTTCCTTAACTCTTGATTGTGTCATGGTGACAAAAAAAAAAAAAGTAGCATGATTGACCCCTCGTCTCCTTGACATGGACACACATCACTGTTCACATGGAACCTTTCCTAGTGCACTTGTCCCCAAGAAGTCATATTAATGTTGTCACAAAATTAAACAATCTTTTTTGAGACAGGGTCAGCCCTAGCTGTTCTGGTACTCACTGTGTAGACCAGGCTGGCCTCTGCTTTCTGAGTGCTGGAATTAAAGGTGTGTATTGTCACACCTGGCTTAAAACATAACATAACTTTAATAATTGTACAGTCTTAAAAAAAAATTCAAATGCTTTCAAATTCAGCCACTTTAAAATATCCAACTGTGGGTTTCTGTAAAACCAAAGTAAGTTCCATACTTTCTATTCTAAGGGAAGAACCAGGGCACAGTTATGATCAAATCAAAGCAAAACCCAATTCTTCTCATAAGTATAAATAGCTGTTATATCTAAGACTCAAGATCTGGTTTCCAAAGGGTTGGGCAGCTCCAGCTCTTCCTCTCCTCCATTCATAGCGTATAAGCTTGGGTCAGCTCCACTCCACAGTTGCTCCTGTCCTTGGCAGTTGTCCTATGATATTAATCTCCAATATGCTGGGGTCTTCACTGCACCTGAGGCTGCGCTTTCACCATGTGCAGGGACTCCACCCTTGCCATGCAGGGCCAAAGCTGTTACCCATGACCCTGTCATGTCTTCAAAACCAGTACCATCTGGGTGACTCTTACCAAATTTGGCTGCCAGCACGAGATGCAGCCTTGGCTCCCTCTGGACCACAGCTTCCATGTGTTGACCCTCAGGAAACAGCTCCAGAGTATTTCACCTCAGTGATACTGGTAGTAAAGTCACCCTAATGTCTCAGCTTTGACTAAGTGCCATTGACTGTTCCAGCAAAGCACAGGCATCCCTTCATGGGAATGGTGCTGGTCTTCTGTAATCACAGTTGATTCTTCAGCTCCAGCTGATGAGAAACCACAGATTCTTTTTTTTTTTTTTTTTGGTTTTTCTAGACAGGGTTTCTCCGTGTAATTTTGGTGCCTGTCCTGGATCTCGCTCTGTAGACCAGGCTGGCCTCTCACAGAGATCCACCTGGTGCTGCTGGGATTAAAGGCGTGTGCCACCACCATCTGGCGAAATCACAGATTCTTACTACAAAAAAGCATCCAAACGGCTCTGACAGTCCTTGTTTCCCTCTGAAACATCCCAGGCCAGGCCTCATTCGTCTGCATCTCTTTAGCATTCCTATCTTCCATGCTACCACAACAGCCTGTTAAGTTCTGAGCGTTGAGTGGCTTTCCCAGTTCAGTGTCCTTCCACAGTTGCCCCCAAACAATGTGATCAGGTCTGTCAGCCATACCTCATGGTCCTGGTACCAATTTACGTCTTAGTCGGGGTTGCTTTTGCTATAGTCAAACACTGTGACCAAAAGTGCCTTGGGGAGGAAAGGGTTTATTTTATAACTGTTAGGTCACACAGTATCACTGAAAGAAGTCATGGCAGAAATTCAAAGCCGAAACCTGGAGGCTGGAACTGAAGCAGAAGCCCTGGAGAAACACTGCTTACTGGTTTGCCCCACTTGGCTTGCTCAGTTTGCTTTCTTATATACCTTAGAATCACCTGGTGTAGGCACCACCCCTATCAGTCATCAGTCAAGAAAATGCCCCACATGTTTGCCTCCGAAGCCGGTATAAGGGCATTGTTTCAGCGGTCCCTTCATTGTTGTTTTTCCCTTGGTTCTAGATGACAGAACGGTACCCGGCACAGCCTTTCATTTGTCTCTAGGTAGAGTTCGAGGGGGAGCACAGAGGATGTAAATCAGGAACATCTCTAGAGTTCTATTTTGGGAGTGGGTTTAGAGAGAGAACTAAGGCTGGTTTCCTTTAGATTTTTAGCTGCTGCAGAGGTTAATGCCCGAGATTTGATGTCACATCAACCTGGATGCAATTCAAAAAAGTTGCTCTTTGTGGTAGAGGTCCCAACTCTGACCTCTGTTCTAGTCAACAACTCCATTTTTGTCAGCCTTCTTAGTTTCTCTGAATGTTGATTGGGTACTAGATAGGCTGGAACTTCTGTGGGACTTTGACTTCGAGTCTTTCTGGGTTTTGAGATGGGGGCTTGTTCTGTAACATAGGCTAGCCTGGGTTACAGACATAAAATACAACATAGCTCTTGACTTAAATCTTGAGTTTCAAGTTTGACTGGTGCCAGAGAACATTGCAGTTGTGGCTACTCTTGATAGTAGCATCCTACAGGTCTAGATGTTAATGATGTCTCAGTTCCTCTGACAAGTAGAAGTTCAAAGCAAATAAATGATGAATGCTGAAAAAATCAGAAAGGTTCATAAGTCTGACAGAGCTGAAAGCTTTTACAGTATCTATTAACAATTAGTACTTAAGTTGCTTTACTTTTTTCATGTTGTTTTGTTAACGGAAGCATGAGATAAGAAAACACTGACTGAGTGTTGGGGTGTAGCTCAGTGTTGGAGTGCTTGCCTAGCATATTTGAGGCCCTGGGTACTGCAGGAAAAGGCCGAGATAGGGAGTTGTCTGTAGACCTTTTACTTGGACAGCATCTTGTGGCAGCCTCTCTTACCATGGGGCTGGAGGCGTCTCTTCTACCATGGTTTGGGACTGGAGAAGGAAGAAGATGCTTTATTCTGAGAATAAAGCAGAACAGTGGCTCATCAGATCCTTCCTGGCAAAGCACTAGAGGATAAAGCATGAACTTCACAATGTCAGTTGTGGTAAGAAAGTAGAACCAGTGTGAAAGAGCAAGAACTGGAGTTGAAGAAGGGATTTCTTCATGTCCCTCTGCATCTCTGTAGAAGCTATCCAGCATCGATCTGGGTGCTTGTGTGTCTCCTCAGTTCATCTCAGGGCCCAGGACGGTCGTCAAGCCCTCCCATGTCATAGCTAGTATTTTTTCCATAGAATAAAAGTCAAATAAGTCAAAACACAGCTTGAGAGAAATGTTCAGCCCCCAGAGTTTACCAGAAGTGCATGATGGCAACAGTTGGGAACCCCTGGGCCAGGGGTCTGAGCCTCAGGGTGGGGCTTTGCCATGTGGAGAGACAGACTTGAAACTCTATAGTGGGAGATGAGGAAAGACTAGGGGTTATACAGCAGTGAAAATGTTGGCAGCATCCCTTAATTAAATAAATGACTTAAAAGCAAACAAACTTTGGGGAAATGCAGATTGACAGCCCAGAGATAGATCCAAACTTCCCCCTATTGGTAATGCTTAGACCAGAGCTCTAACTACGAGGATAAAGAGGAGTTTGAGAAAAGGTGAGCACAGCTGATTGATTGTTGATACTTGTTTCCAGACAGGAATTCGCCCTTGCTGGCTATGAATTCTGCATTGCAACTCTAGAGGAAAAAATTGAAAGAGAGAAGGAATTAGCAGAAGATGTTATGTCAGGTAGGAAAATCGACTTGTCTAGGTGTTGGGATTTCTCCACAGAGGTCTCCATTGCTGGATGTTCGTTAAGGGAAAGAGCCCATGTTGTGGGAGGGCAAATTATCCGTTCTGGGAAGTCAGTGGCTGTGACGATGCCACTTGAAGTAGGGTGTTTGGTTAAATGACTAGGCCTCTTAGGTGGCAGGTTGATAATTTCTCTGCTAATTTCTGCTACATTTGTAATCTTTGGAAATTGATAAATACAAAGGCAAGTCTTTTCTTTTTGTTTAGTCACTTCTTAGAATATAGCTGAATGGGAGAGCACTTGCCTGCCAGGTACAAATCCTGAGATTAGGGAGAGAAAGACAATGAATCTAAATATACAGCAGGTTAAGGAAAAAGAGAAAGTTCATATTCATGCAGGCTATCTGCACTCAGGAAATCTGAGAGCATTATTTGTGGTGGAGGGGTGGGAAGCTTTCAAGTTCTGTATTTCTTCCTTTCTTTTTTTTTTTAAAGATTTATTTATTATGTATACAGAAGAGAGCACCAGATCTCATTACAGATGGTTGTGAGTCACCATGTGGTTGCTGGGAATTGAACTCAGGACCTCTGGAAGAACAGTCGGTGCTCTTAACCTCTGAGCCATCTCTCCAGCCCTTTTTTTTTTTTTTTTTTTTGATAGGGTTTCATGTAGTCCTGGCTGGCCTGGAGCTTGCTATATACCTCTAATTCTGAGATAACACTTGTGTCTGCCTCTTGAGGCTTGGATTAAAGGTGTATGCCTCTACACTCGGCTTTTGCTTGGGTTTCTTACTTGATCTGAAGTACTAGGAATTTGCAGATTTCACATTCATGGAGAAACTTGTTACATACTGACTCCGTGCCAAGAGGTAGCAAGATGCTAGGAAACTGTGAGCAAAAGCATGAGACCATGAGACCACAGCAAAGCTCCTGGGAAGGGTTGTCTGTGCGTTGAAGTCTTCTAATTCTCTGTTCTTCACCACCACTCCACAATGTCACCAAGTTCTAGCACTTACCTGTCTTACTCATTAGTAGCTTTGACTCATGGGATCACTACAGGAAACAATATCCCTTGACTTCTGGGGCATCTCATTGGTCTTTTCCCTACTTCATCCCTATTTCCAGATAGAGACTGGCCTCAGAGGTGTCTTATCCTCTTTTTCCTCTGGCTCACACCCTAGGAAATGTCATGTAGTCCCATAACATTGAACTATTATATTTATACCTCCCGGCTGGCACCAAGACAGCACTTATGGGTCTGGTCTTATATTTGAGTATACTGTTTAATGGTTTTCCAACATTAGATATGTGCAAAATGGGTTTCTTCATTTCTGCTGCTCAAAAGTTTCTTCACTGGTCAGCCCCACATTAGTAAGTGACACCAGCATTCACCCAGTAGCTTTGGCAGAGAACCTAAGAATTTTCTGTGGTTTCTTCCTTATACCTAGTCTACCAACAAGTTATATTAGATCAACTATGAAAATTCATCTACATTAGACTACATCTCTCACCCTCTTACTCACTGCTTCATGGAGGTCATCATCCTTGTGGCCTGCATGCTGATCTCAGTTTTCTTGCTTCCTTCCCTTTACTCCCTCAAGTAATCTGTTGTCCACGTAGCAGGCAAACTAATCTTTTACACCCTGTTGTTTCGTTATTGCCTTTCGAATAAATTCACGATCCTCACAAGGATCCATGACCTGGCTTCCACCTGCTTCTGTGGCTTCATTATCTTCTCTTCCCTGCTCATTTCACTGGCCACATTACTCTTTTCCCTGGTCTTGCAAATCTCAAGCCCATATCATCTCAAGGCCTTTTCATTCAATATGCCTTTCCCTAGACTGCTCTCACACTGCCTCACTTCATTCAAGTCTGTTCAGTGTCTTCTCAGAGGCCTGTCCTAACACAGGCATCTTTTCCCATCTTGGTGTCACTCAGTCTCTGTCCTTTAACTGTTCTCTACCATCCTTGAAGTAGTGTATTGAAGTGTGGGTGTTGGGTGCGTGTGTCTGTATTACCAATAGAAGTACATTGCTTTGTACAACTCTTTAGTATTTGTCTTCTCTACCAAAAAGAAATCAAGATGCCATCTGTTGTATTAAATCCTTAGTGCCTGGAAGAGTGCCTAGCACCGAACGGGCTCAGTAATTACTGAAAGAACACAAAACTTGGCAAAGAACAGCAAGTAAATACAGTTCAGTGCAGTTTGGAAGAGCTTGAATAAACCCAGAGAAGGTATGAATGAGGCCCAGTCACAGAGTATTAGTCATTCATTGTCCACATCCTTGCCATTGTGCATTGGAATATTACTAGTATTTTTTCCTGCTTCTTTCTCTCTCCCCCCTGCCCACTCTCTCTCCCCCATCTCCCCTTTTCTTCCTTCCCCCCTTCTCTGTCTCTGTCTCAGATGGGATATTGCTGTATAGGCCAGACTGGCATCACATTTAAGATACTCATTCTGCCTCAGCCTCTTCACTAGTGTGAGCCATTGTCAATGACCCTTGATTTAATCCCTGTCTGTCTGTCTTTCTCACTTACTCTGTCCAGGGTCTCATGTATCCCAGGCTGGCCTCAAACTTACTATATAGCCAAGGATGACTTTATATTTCTCATCGTCCTGCCTCCACCTTCTGAGTGCTAGGATTGTACCATATTGGTTTCTGTTGTCCTGTGGATGGAACTCAGAGCTAGGCAAGCCCTTTACCAAATGATCTGCATTTTTAACTCCTTGATTAAGAGTATAAAACTTAAAAGTATAACTTTATTATAGTCTTTATTCTATTCCTTTGTTAAGAGTATAAAGCTTTTTCCAACTCCAAAAATAGTTATGAATTTTCTAAAGAAAATTCTGGAGAACATTATGAAGAAAGTGAAGATAATCCTATTGCTAAGAAAGAACAGCTGTTTGTTTTATATTGTAACCCAACTTTTAATAATATACTGTGCAAATATATTTCTGTTCTTTCTAGGCAAAAGTTTTTTTTTCATTTTTTTTTTTTTAACATGAATTGGTGTTTTGCCACGGGTATCAGGTCCCCTGGAACTGGAGTTACAGACAGGTGTGAGCTGCTATGTGGGTGCTGGGATTTGAACCTGAGTCCTGGAAGAGCAGTCAGTGCCTTTAACCACTGAGCCATCTCTCCAGCCCCACAAAAGAATTCTTGTTGGCTATGCAAGCTAATTTCTTTGTGTGTGTGAGCATGCTTGCTCATCTATGTGCATGGAAGGGATAATCTTGGATGCCAGAGGACAGTCTTGGATGTTGTTCCTCAGATGCTGGCCATTGTGTTCTGGGGAGTCAGGTTTACTCACTGGCCTAGAACTTGCCAAGTAGGCTAGACTGGCTGGTCATCAAGCCTCAGGAATCCCCCTGTCTCTGCTTCCCTAGTGCTAGTATTACAAGCACATGCCACCATACCTTCCTTTTGAAAGTATGAATTCTAGCATGAGACTCTGGCATGGTAAATGATTTACCAAATTCAAGTGTAGTGGCTCATGCCTGCATTTTCGGCATCTGGGAAGCTGAGGCAAGAGTATTACTGTGAGTTTGAGAACAGCTTAGGCTACAGAGTGAGGCTCTGTCTTAACAAAGAAAGGAAATGCTGAGGAGATAGCTTACTCCATAAAATGTTTTCTATGCAAACATTTGGATCCGAGTTCGATCCCCAGAACCTGCTGCGAGCCGCATAAGTATGAAGTCGGAACTCAGCTGGCACTGACAAGGCTGACCATTAGAGCCGGGGGCTCTGGTGGAGGTTGAAGCCCAAACTCAGGGAGTTGACTCTATTAGCTGTCTCCTGCAGTGAATTTCTTGTGTGCTGTTGTAGCCTTCCCATCTGATTCTTTTCCCAAGAACTTCTGATGGTGTGATTGATCATTTATTGGGCACAGCTCCCCCTATACATTTAGGGTATTTGGATAATGTTCACAGCTGTGTTTGAAAACAGTCACACAGTCAAGACCTCTTTCCCATAATCAGTCCTTTGTTCCTCTTTCTAGCATAGACTTAAGAGTCTGCCTTTCTGTAATTATCTTCGTTAGCAGACATCTGGCCAGTGCCATCTCCCGACAAAAGTATTTCATCTGAAACACTTCTCAAACATCCAAGAACAGACTGCAGGTAGATGAGCCCTTAGTTCATCTCACCTACAGATAAGAGAAGCTAACCCTACTAACATTAACTCCTTACCTTCACCCCGGTTTTTTAACACAAGACCCTAATTTAAGAGATTTACTGCTTGCAGTTACCAGGGTGGTGGTCGGCCATCTGCTAGTTACTGAGATAAGGTAAATAGTCCCACTGACCCAATGAGACAACTGCCAAGGCCAGGTGGATGACAGATGCCAAGCTTTGTTTTTTTGTGCTAATTAAGCTGAAATCCTCCTCTTTAATTCCATAGCCCAAATGTTATCCTTAGTTCTAAAGATTCCCTCCTTTAGCAGTTAACTCAGAACCAAAGTGCTTTTATGAACCAAATGCTACATGTTGTTACGAAGGTTGCCTAGTAACTGGGAACACTTCCCCTTCCCTGCAAGAAAATGGAGCCACCGAGAAGTGCCACCAAAAGGAAAAAAAGACAGTTTTACTTTATTCGTGACTTATACTGACATATAGACTCCTAACCTTTTACCTAGCCACTTCTAAGAATATACTCTGAGCTCATAAATTCCTCTTTAGATCCCCTAATTGATTTTATCCCTTAGTTGACCCTGCCAGGGAACTTCCATTAGCCACTTCCCCTTTGGGTTGTAAATGAAAGCTGACAATTATCACTCCTTGTGTGGATCTTATCACCTCTCTCCATGACCCTGAAAACTTCAAGCCTGGCATTTCATTGCCAAAGAATTAGTGCTTGTAGGTATATATAAACTGGTACCCCCACAGCACTGGAGGAATTGACTTAGAAGAATAAAGTGAATAGACTAAAAGAGCTCAATGTACATAGATTCATTCAATATCCCTCAGATTAGATTCTCAGCTGCTTGTAGCGTCTCTT